ATTGATGATATATATTATTATACTCTACTGACATCTCCCTCAAATTGATGCTGGTAAAAGTATCAATTTGTAATCACGAACTGGATGTGCTTTTGAGTCAACATTTTCGTAGAACCCATAAACCAAGAACTCAACGTTGCTGAACTTTAAACCCAAGAACTGATTCAAAACTCGATATGATTCCCTGCAAAGAATCAATATTCGACCAGAAACTGATGACGCTAACAAATCATCACCAAAACGCTGAATGCTCGCACCACACTTGATGCACCGAAGAGTCACACGTTAATAAAAATTTTGTCAACCGTGGACAACCACAAGAAACCCCCACCTAAAAGGCTGAGTTATGACCAAAGAGAATCGAAGATCTAACCACTTCATAGATACTCCAGAAAACTCGTTCCCCAAGAAGAATTTTCAAAATAAATTCATGAAGTGTGCCGACCCACATAATGAGCTCTATTTGTCGGGAGAACTCTGTCGAACACACAATTCGTGTTCCGACAAAAGCTCTAATGCCAATACACCGACCAAAATTCAGCAATATTGTTGATCAAGATGCTGCAGTTGGAAGAAATCCCACAAAACAGCGTACACCATAAAAATAAAGATGATTCTCTTCTGAGAATCCAAAAACCACCAAAAGATGATCCTCTTTTGAGAATCAAAAACTTATCCAAAACTTTAGCTCATCACTCGAACAACCAAAACACAAATTTGCACTCCCATGTCTCTCTCATCCATATGACCCATCGATAAAATCCCCAAGCTCCTTACTGGAAGCAAATTAAGTCACATTTCAAATTTCAAACAAAATAAGCCCACAAAGAGGAAATAAAGCCCACAATAATACCACTCATAAACCAACACATTGATATGCCCCAGACCACATATTATAAAACCCACAACAAAATTAATCAACCACTTAACCAGAGTCGATGCTAATAAATCAACCCCATATAATGCAGCGCAACTATGATAAAATTCAAAAAATTGCAACCAAAACAAACAGCCCAACTTAATAAATTAAGAGCCCAAAGTCAAACTTAATTATATTGTTCTTTGGCCCAAATCAAAAATTTTAGCCCACAAAACCATACTCAGCCCTTTAATCCCAAGCCCATTATCTCTTCAATCCTTAGCCCATGATGCCCACATACACGTTCGTAAATACTAGCCCACATGCCCATTACAAGAAATTTAGCAAAAATAAATTTCAAAACTAAAGCCCAAGAGAATCAATGTTAATAGTCCAACTGAAATAAGCCCAAAAGTTGATATTATTAACCCGAACTCCAAAAGCCCACAAATCAATTAAAAAAAGTGGAAATTACATAAAACCATAGTTCCCAAATCAGAGTGGAAGTTTAATATTTCACTAATCAGATTTTTTTTTTCATTTATTAATTATTTTAAAATTATTTAATAACTGCCTTCCCTAAATTCATGTATTTTAAATTTTGGAAACTCTATATTCATTAAAACCTCCATACACGTCATTTCCATAAAACCCACGTCCCTCATGTATCCATATTTTACGATTAAACCGTCGTTCATCCAAGCCATATTCTGCCGTTCATCCCTGGTCGTTCTCCAGCAATTCCCCGACGACCTTCTCCCACTATCGTATCTATATATATCTTATATGTTCCTTCCCAAAAAGAAGTGGTCAGAGTTGAACTGTAATCTTCTAAAATTTCAAGGATGACTCGTTCAAGGAGTGAGAAACGAGGGGAGAAATTGGAATCCACGAGTAAGAAAGAAGAGGTAAAAGGAAGGTGGATAAAGTGCAGAAGGATTTATCCTCTAAAAGATACAAATTCGAACGTTCGGTCACAAAACCACCTGCGAAGAAGGTGTTTTTGCAATTTTTCAATTGTTCACTTATTTCGAGCATACCTATGTACATTTTAATCGATGGGTAATGTGTATGGATGAAATATTTTGAATTTGTGAGGTATATTGCATTGAATTTGTTGTGTGGATTTGTAATCGAAATATCGGATTCTAGAAAGGGGTTTTAATGTTTTCTTCCAAAGTGGTTGTTCATTTGTGAATTATGGAATTCTATTGTGTCGTTTTGTATGTGTATTGTTGATTTCTTATCTGGTGGAGGGACCTGTGACCTATATGTTGATGTTGTGTCTACTTGGATTCCCACCTGTGACCAAATTGATGAGTTTTATTGTGATCGATGTTGCAGGCCTGGAGATACATTACACCTTGGTTTTCGGGTAAAATTACAGTTATCCTTGTGAAGGGTGTGGTGTCAAATTTCAAAAACAACCTCAATGAAGCCCAACGTCAAATCCTTCAAAATACATGTTTCTCCCACTTCCTGTAATGCGATAAAATTGTTATCCAATCTCAGCTGATACGCTACTTTCTGCTGAGACAAGTGCAACAACCTAATGACAGTGAGTTGTGGTTCAACATGGCTGGAAGATTTGTAAGGCTCTCAGTTTCAGAGTTTTGTTTGGTGACTGGTCTGAGATTCGTCGACGATGCTGACACAAGTAGAATGGAGAAGACTCCATCACAATTGAAAATTTTGTATTTTTTAACGTTAAAAAATGTAACTCATGAAGACATCAAGGACGCATTTGTTGGTGCTACTGACATTCAGGATGAGGATGTTTCCATGTTAGGTGCATTATATTTCATAACGTCTCATCTACATCCGAGAGACTACAAGAAGGCTGTGGATCACTTCTTGTTTGTACTATTTGAAGATTCTAGTGTGATGAATGTGTTTCCATGGGGTAAGTCGCTGTTTGAAACACTAGTAAATTCATTGAGGGAGGGGTTAAGTAAGAGAACAACACATTACAGACTCAAAGGCTTGTTCGTAGCCTTTCAAGTGTGGATTTACGAGACAATTCCCAATCTTGATGGATACACAGTGAGAAGGATGTCCAAAGCGTACCCCTGGATAATGAACTGGGTGGCTGATGATCACCCTTTGGCTGCAAAGCTTGAGGGGCCTGAATGCTTCTCCAATCCGAAAGTAAGTGACCACTGATGTAGCATTACTGGTTTTGAAATATTAAACTTGCACATTTTTTTCATGTTCCAGATCAT